GACAGGAATGGTCAGTGTGTGGTCACCATGATGGAGCTGATGGTCAGTGTGTGGTCACCAGGCATGGTCAGTGTGTGGTCACCATGATGGAGCTGATGGTCAGTGTGTGGTCGGTAGGACACAGGCGATAGTCAGCATGAATGGTCAGTGTGTGGTCACCATGGTGGAGCTGATGGTCAGTGTGTGGTCAGTAGGACACAGATGATGGTCAGTGTGTGGTCACCAGGCATGGTCAGTGTGTGGTCAGTAGGACACAGGTGATGGTCAGTGTGTGGTCACCAGGCATGGTCAGTGTGTGGTCACCATGATGGAGTTGATGGTCAGCGTGTGGTCACCAGGACAGAGTTGATGGTCAGTGTGTGGTCACCATGATGGAGCTGATGGTCAGTGTGTGGTCAGTAGGACACAGATGATGGTCAGTGTGTGGTCAGCCTTGATGGTCAGTGTGAATGGTCAGTGTGGAGTCACTATGATGGAGCTGATGGTCAGTGTGTGGTCAGTAGGACACAGATGATGGTCAGTGTGTGGTCAGCCTTGATGGTCAGTGTGAATGGTCAGTGTGGAGTCACTATGATGGAGCTGATGGTCAGTGTGTGGTCAGTAGGACACAGATGATGGTCAGTGTGTGGTCAGCCTTGATGGTCAGTGTGAATGGTCAGTGTGGAGTCACTATGATGGAGCTGATGGTCAGTGTGTGGTCAGTAGGACACAGATGATGGTCAGTGTGTGGTCAGCCTTGATGGTCAGTGTGAATGGTCAGTGTGGAGTCACTATGATGGAGCTGATGGTCAGTGTGTGGTCAGTAGGACACAGATGATGGTCAGTGTGTGGTCAGCACGAATGGTCAGTGTGAATGGTCAGTGTGGAGTCACCATGATGGAGCTGATGGTCAGTGTGTGGTCACCATGCCAGGAATGGTCAGTGTGTGGTCAGTAGAACACAGGCGATGGTCAGTGTGTGGTCACCAGGAATGGTCAGTGTGTGGTCAGTAGGACACAGATGATGGTCAGTGTGTGGTCAGCACGAATGGTCAGTGTGAATGGTCAGTGTGTGGTCACCAGGACAAGAGCGCTCAGCAGCACGGACACAGCACCGATGACCACCACAAGGGGAGTGACCACAGAGTGACCACAGAGTGACCGTTGAGTGACCACAGAGTGACCACAGAGTGACCCGTGAGTGACCACTGACTACTGAGTGACCACAGAGTGACCACTGAGTGACCCCTGAGTGACCACAGAGTGACCCCTGAGTGACCCCTGAGTGACCACAGTGACCGTTGAGTGACCACAGAGTGATCACAGAGTGACAGTTGAGTGACCACAGAGTGACCCCTGACTGACCACAGAGTGACCACTGAGTGACCGAGTGACCACAGAGTGACCACAGAGTGACCACAGAGTGACCAGAGTGACCACAGAGTGACCACAGAGTGACCGCCAACACCGGCACCAGCAGGGGGAGGGGCACAGATGCAGGGGCGTGGCCCAGGTGAGTGACAGGGGCGTGGCCCAGGTGAGTGACAGGGGCGTGGCCTGAGTGATTGACAGGGGCGTGGTCCAGATGAGTGACAGGGCGTGACCCAGATGAGTGACAGGGGCGTGGCCCTGGTGATTGACAGGGGCGTGGCCCAGGTGAGTGACGGGGGCGTGGCCGGGGGGTGTGTCGTTCCAGCACAGGAAGGTTCAGGTGACACAGAGTGACATCAGGGGACAGAAGGAGGGAGACAGGGGCATGGCCCAGGTGTGAGGGGCATGGCCCGGGTGATTGACAGGGGGTGTGGCCCGGGTGATTGACGGGGGTGTGGCACGGGTGATTGACAGGGACATGGCCTGAGTGACAGGGGCGTGGTCCAGGTGATTGACAGGGGTATGACCCAGGTGATTGACAGGGGCGTGGCCCAGATGCAGGGGCGTGGCCCGGGTGATTGACAGGGGGCGTGGTCCAGGTGAGTGACAGGGGGTGTGGTCCAGGTGAGTGACAGGGGGCGTGTCCCAGGCGATTGACAGGGGGCATGGCCCGGGTGATTGACAGGGGGCAGTCTTGGGTGAGTGACAGGGGGCATGGCCCAGGTGAGTGACAGGGGGCGTGGCTCAGGTGACAGGGGGCGTGGCTCAGGTGAGTGACAGGGGGCGTGGTCCAGGTGAGTGACAGGGGGTGGTCCAGGTGATTGACAGGGGGCGTGTCCCGGGTGATTGACAGGGGGCGTGGCCCAGGTGAGTGACGGGGGCATGGCCCAGGTGATTGACAGGGGGCGTGTCCCAGGTGAGTGACAGGGGGTGTGGCCCAGGTGATTGACAGGGGGCATGGCCCAGGTGAGTGACAGAGGTATGACCCAGGTGAGTGACAGGGGGCATGACCCAGGTGATTGACGGGGGCGTGTCCCGGGTGATTGACAGGGGCGTGTCCCGGGTGATTGACAGGGGGCGTGGCCCAGGTGATTGACAGGGGGTGCAGCCCAGGTGAGTGACAGGGGTATGACCCAGGTGAGTGATGGGGGCGCAGCCCAGGTGATTGACAGGGGCGTGGCCCAGGTGATTGACAGGGGGCGTGGCCTCACCTCGTCCTTGCAGCGCAGGAAGGTGTGGTACTTGTAGTGGTGCAGGGAGTGGTACAGGGTGTACAGGAACGACTTCTCCACCTCCACCTTGAACTCCTGAGGGGCACACGGGGGGTCAGGGACCCCCGGGACACCCCAAAACACACCTGGGACACCCCAAACACACCTGGGGCACCCCAAAACACACCTGGGGCACCCCAAAACACACCTGGGATGCCCCAAAACACAGCTGGGACACCCCAAACACACCTGGGGCACCCCAAAACACCCCTGGGGCACCCCAAACACACCTGGGACACCCCGGGACACCCCAAAACACACCTGGGACACCCCAAAACACACCTGGGACACCCCAAAACATACCTGGACACCCCGAAACACACCTGGGGAACCCCAAAACACACCTGGACACCCCAAAACACACCTGGGGAACCCCAAACACACCTGGGACACCCCAAACACACCTGGGACAGCCTGGGACACCTCAAAACACACCTGGGATCCCCCAAAACACACCTGGGACCCCCCTGAGACCCTCTAAAACTCACCTGTGATCGCTCTGGTGACTTCCAAGACCCCCCAGGACCACCCAAAACTCACCTGTGACCCCTCAGGTGACCTTCAGGTGACTCCCAGGACACCCCCAGACCCCCCCAGGACACCCCCAGAGCCCCAGGTGAGGCTGTACCTGTGGTTTCCCCACGCTCCTCTTGACCTTGCCGAGGGTCTTGCGGTTGTAGGGGTCTCCCCAAACCCCACCTGGGACCCCCCAGGTGACCCCCAAACCCCTCAGGTGAACCCCAAACCCCTCAGGTGAACCCCAGACCCCCCAGGACACCCCAGGTGACCCCCAGGTGACCCCCAGACCCCCCAGGTGACCCCCAGACCCCCCAGGTGACCCCCAGATGACCCCCCAGACCCACCAGGTGACCCCCAGGTGACCCCCAGGTGACCCCCAAACCCCCCAGGACACCCCCAGACCCCTCAGGTGACCCCCAGACCCCGTACCTGTGGTTTCCCCACGCTCCTCTTGACCTTGCTGAGGGTCTTGCGGTTGTAGGGGTCTCCCCCCGGGCGCAGCCGCACCAGGGACTCGGCGGGCTCGGTGTGCAGCTGGGGAAAGGTGTGCAGGGCCTCCTGGGGTGGGACACCTGGGGTCACCTGGGGCCACCTCGGGTCACCCTGGGTCACCTCGGGTCACCGGGGGCCACCTGGGGTCACCTGGGGTCACCCTGGGGTCACCTCGGGTCACCTCGGGTCACCTGGGGTCACCTGGGGTCACCCTGGGGTCACCTGGGGTCACCTCAGGTACCCACGGGGTCACCTGGGGTCACCCTGGGGCCACCTGGGGCCACCCTGGGGTCACCTGGGGTCACCTGGGGCCACCTCAGGTACCCACGGGGTCACCTGGGGCCACCCTGGGGTCACCTGGGGTCACCTGGGGCCACCTCAGGTACCCACGGTGTCACCTGGTATCACCTCAGGTACCCATGGTGTCACCTGGGGTCACCTGGGCCTCACAGCCTCCCCAAACCCCCCAAACCCCTCCCCAAACCTCAGAGACCCCTCCCCAAACCCCCC